TAAACCTTTTACTATAAAAAAATAAGATTTAACGTTAAAAAAGAATATTTAGCTATAAAGAAAAATACAATTTTACAAAGATGAAATTTCATTCTCTATCTAAGTATAATAGAATAAAGTGAAACATTCACTTAAAATCATAAAATATAAAATATAAAATTAATAATAATATAAATATAAAATTATAAAATCTTTTATTTTTTTTTTCTTTTATTTTTATTTTTTTTTTTTAATTTTTTTTAAAACTATTAATCTCTATAAAATATTTATAAATATAATTTAAAATATAATATTAAATAAACAAGATAAATAAACAAGTTAAATCGTAAGTGATTTTTTTTATAAATTAAATTATTTTTTTTTGCAATTTTCATGAATAAACAACATATTTAATTTAATGATTTTAAAAATCTATTAAAAGAAATATTTATATATATATATTTTTTATATTATATTTTATACATTTTACCCTATATCAAAGTGTTCTATTTTGTTACATATGAAATATTTTAGAAAAAATTTAATGTTTACATTTCAGTTTATAAAAAATAAAATGTCAAGCCAAAATATTATGGATGGAATATAATCAAAGAAAAAATACAGTGAAATATAGAATACAATATAAAGTTTTACAATATTCAAATTAAAAAAATTTATTACTTAAAGTTTTTCACGCTATAAGAAACATAAAAAAATATCTTTACGAGATAGAAATTAATTATAAAATATAGTACTTTTACGAGCATTTAGATTTATGTTTCACAATATTTTTTTTATTCGCAGCTTTTATTTTATTTTAAAAGAATATTGACATTCCATTTCTGTTTATTTTGCTAATAATCTATTTTTATTTTATTATTATTAAGAGATATTTAAATTATAATTATATAAATAACATACAATATTATTTTAATTATATTTAATTAATTATTTATATTTATATATTAAAAATAAGGATAGATTAACTAATTGTTAAAAATATTGTATCTAATATGCTAATTACAGAAACATAATATTTATGTGAAAACAAATGATTTTTACTATATCAATTATTTGTTTCTGTTCTTTTGATGCTGTAATTACATATTGTTAAAAAGTTATCAACATTTGAAAAATTGATTATGTAAATAAATATTTTTTCTTGAAGATTTTATATTTTTACATTTTATCATACAATTATAATACAATAAATATTAAACGAATTTTATATATAATTTTAAAGTTTTTATTTATTAACAAATTTATTGATACTATTGATATTTTTTTAAACATAAATAATATAAGTTATGAAGTCAAAAGTCATTCAAGTGGCTAATAATATTCAAGCCTAATATGAAGATTAATTAACTAACATAAAAATTTTAAGTTTCTATATGAAAATCTAAGATTCTATAAAAAAATCTTATATTTCTATATTTAATTTTTTATATTTCTATAAAGATTTAAAACGTTATTATATTAAAAACAATTTTTATATTCTTTTTATAAGTAAATATATTATAATTTATATTTAATTACTTGAAGATTTATAATTTTATATTATGAAAATATAAATTATAAAATTATGTTATTAAAATGTGAAAAAAAATAATTAATATTTATATAATAATAAAATATTTTTTTTTATAATATTATCTTTTTTTTATATATTTTTTTTATAAATTATCTTTTACACAACTTTTTAATACATTTATTTACTATCACTAAAATAAATTAATGTAATGTTTCTTAATTGATTTAAAAATTCATCTATAGTCAACTAATTCCATATTTTCTAATTTATCTTTTTCTTTAATCTATGTAATTGAAAAATAAAAAAACTCAGTATATTTTAATTGTTATTAAATCAAATTACTTTTAATTTATTTATTTTGATAATCATATATATGTTTTATTAGATATAATAATGCTTGATAATAATTATAATATAATATCATGATTTTTTATCTAAATTTTTAATTTATTAAAAATTAAAAATTGAAAAACTAATTTAGGAGATCCGCTTTTTTTTTTATTTAGTAGACATATTTAGAAAATTTAAAAATATATAAAAAACTATATTATACTATACTATAATTACAAATATATGTTATATTTAATATATAAAATACATAAAATAATTTTTGTTATTTACAGATATTTGATATCGTAAGTGAATCTTTTTATAACATATTGAATATAAACAAGAATAGATTTGTATCTATAAAGTAGTTTAGTCTTTACTGATATTAATAAGTAAGTCTCATTGATAACTTTGAACTGATATTGATTAGACAATTTTTTACTCTTCTCGATGATTAAGTAAATATTGATTTTTTATAAATTTTGATTATTAAATCAAAATTTCGAATCCTTTTTTCCATTATTCTGTTTATTAAATTACTGTTTATTAAATAAATAATTAATTACATAATTCTTGATTTAACAAAGCATTTTTTCACTCAGTACTAAAATGCGAGACAACAAATTAATATGTGTTATCGAATTACTTTAACTTTGTAGATTCAGTAATTCAATTTATTTTCACTCTTTCCAATAATTTAGTGAACTTGCTCGTTAAATCGTCTGGCTTCGCAATAGATTTAATGTTTAATGAGATAACGTCTGTCTTCATACTTTTTGCTGACTATCTATTTACTTAGCTATTCAAGCTATTGATGCAAAATTTTTAAAAGATCATAGATTTCGTTCATATTGAATTTATAATAAATAATTGTATTTTGAATGCAAATAAATTTGATAGATAGATATTACTAAAATTTTAAATATTTTTGTCGAAAAGTACACTTTTTGTTTTTATTTAATCTTTTTATTTATTTTTAATGTATCAAAAAATTAATTGATTGATTATTTAACGATTGAATTGGTTTAAAAGAGTAGTTATAATGATTCATTCCATTTATAATGCATAGTTTTTAGAATCAATTTAACGTATCTTTAAAATAATAATTAATAATTTTGATAATAGATAGATAATCGAATAGAAACAATATTTCAACGAGCGCTAATTTTAATGAGAACATTAGTAGATAATAAATTTATGAAAATTTATGAAAAAAAATAATATTAATAAAAATAATATTAAAAATGCATTTAAAATAAGAAAAGAAAAAAGTTGATTATTTATATATATTTAGTTTATATACTGCAAATTTCTATAATTCGTTATTATTTAACTTTTAAAATATTATATATATAAATAGATAAAATGATTGATTATATGTAATTATATAAATTAAATAACTATTTGTAACAAGAATTGTAATAAATAATTATTTGTAATAAGAATTATCAAAAGAATAATTCTCTATTATATATTATTAAAATTTCTGAAAACTTCATTTCGTATAAATTCCAAAATATTTTTCGATAAAATAATGATATAGATATTTTAAAATGGCAGAAAATGAATTTCATTTCGCATACTATAAAGTTACCAATATTAATAATATTATTAAGGATATAAGGATATAAGGATATAAAAGGATATATTCCTTTTTAACAATTCGATCTATATGTAAATGATTGCATAGTTGAAATGAATTTCAAATAAATATCATATCTAAATAACACGAAATAAAAAATTAGATATAATATATAGATATTATTTAAATAAAATTTAAAAACAAAAATAAAAGTATTTATTAATATAATCATATTAATAATTAAAATGTATAATTAAAATTTCAGGAATAATAATAATATAAAAATAATGATAAATTCAAAGAAAATCAAAATGTTTATATATTTTAGATATTAGAAAATTTATAAAATTTGAATGAATAGAATAAAAAAAGGAAAAAACAAATGAATTTTATATCAGCACAAATAAGAATATTCGACCGAAAAATTAGAATATTGAACCGAAAAAAAAATATTTAAAAAAATATATATCTAAAGTTTTAATATTGATAAATTTATTATTTAAAATTGAAAGTATTCGTTTCAAAAAATAAATCAGCAGCGAGCACGAAGAACGAAAATATAAGAATCGAAATATATGACCAGTTAAAACATACGTAAATGAGAAATCAAAGTATTCGAACAGCACAAAGAAACGAAGGATTCAAAGCAACTTTTCACGTGGCGAATCAATAAAGCGTTAAAATGTTTCTAATCGCGTAAGAAGAAACTTCTTTGAAGATAAAAAAATCCTATTCTATCATTATCATTGAAGAATAGACGGTAAATAAACGTCAAAGCGAAATTTACAAAAATGAAAAGAAAAAAAAAATAACATATAAAAAGCAAATGTGCAAAAAAGAAAGCGAACAGAATACACCAATGAGAAGAAGCGAGTGATAACAACAGGTCGTCTGAAAGAGTCGTGGAAGAAACGTGACTGGATCGTAAAAGAGAAGGAAAAAGTCGCGTACCAGATCAACAGACAGGACGAAAACTGCTCGAACGAAAAGTATCCCAGAGACGCGCATAGTATCTTTATCACCGTTCGAGCGAATATCGTTAAGAGAAGCATCGAGTCGGGGGACGCGATCGCGAAGTAAGCCGAAGGACCGGCCGGCGGCGATGACGGTGGCGGTGACAGCAGCCGACGTAGGAAAGTCCGTAGAGAAAGAGAGGGAGGAATGAAACGGAAGAAAGAGGCAAGACAAAAGAAGAGGAGAGGGTTGGTACGAATCGATTAGGTCTGTCGGCCATTTTGTTAGCGGCTCGAATCGGCCAAGTATCCTACAGCTGCCCGCAGAAGGCGTGGAAGCGACTGAGTCGACTCCATCGGGAGAACGAATAGCTCGACGTCGGCGTGGAATCGAGGCACGAATTCTCGTTACCGGATAGGACGTGGAGGAGCGGCGTCGGGTGGTGGGACCGGCATTGAAGTGGGGTCGGAAAGGTCGACTTCGAAGGTGGGGGTATCGGGTGGTTAGGTTGGGTTCTATAGGAACTTAACCGGCAGTCAGTGCCTCCCAGGGCCCCGCGCCGTTAGTCTCGTTGGTGTTGTGTCGTGTAACGTGTCCTCTCTTTCTCTCTTTTTTCTCTCTTTTTCTTCCCTTTCTTTCTTGGGCCCTCTCCCTCTCCCCTTTCTATCCCCTTTTCCGCGTACAATTTTTTTTTTGACTTGTTGTCACAATCGATACCATCACAATCGACACTGTCACGAGTGATAAGGAAATAATCGCGCACACGTGCCACTTTCGATGATATTTACTGTTGATGGATGCTACGCGTCCACAAATCTGGGGACCCGAGTCATGATTCTTGTTGATCGGATACCCTGTCCATTGGTTTCATTTCTCTGAAAGAAAAAATTGGAAAAATAAATTCACGAGGAACGTTTCTTACACCCTTGGGATGAGTTTAACGAAATAAAAAATTTTCAATTGTCTCAGATTTGAGATGAATATGATGTACTGGAAGAATGCGATAGAAAGTTCACTGAAATTCTTTTGAATCGAAATTACATGTTGAATATTATATCGTGAAGATATTTGCATAAATGATCCAAAGGAATTCAATTAACTAGATTGACGAAATAAAAAGTTGAGCATCGAGATTGTCGTTAAATTAATTTAACAAATGTTTGGAGAAATTGTGGAAGAAATAATTTGTGCCAATAATAATAATAGTGATTTTCGATTATTTTTGAGAGAACCGTGCGCAAAAATCAACGAATCGCTGGTTCGAAAAACCGCAAAATGGCGTAAAACTATCGTTGAAAATATATAACTTTTTCAAATCGTGCAAATTTCTCGATTCGAGTGTGAACGAATAATGTGAAAAATTAAAATTTCGTGATGAGCTGAAATGGAATTCATGCAACGAACAATACATTAGCAAATAATGCAAATTATTTTATTGATTGAATTGAATTTACAAATAGTGGTTTTCAATAATAGCCAATAGATGAGTGCAAGTTGTAGAATATGAAATTGCGAATATTTATTAAGGAAGATATGTGCAATTATGAACTAACGCTTGATCGGTGAAAAGGGACCAAAAGTGTATATTCTTTCAATGTAACAATAATTTGATATAAAAAGTAACGAAAAAAATTTAACAAAATTATTCGGAAATAAAATTAATCTATTGGGTTAATTCAATATTTATAATAATTGAAATCAATCAATTCAATCGGTCCAAAAAATAATATATATATATACATATGTATAGTTTTTCGTAAATTGCATATTATTCAACAGGCAAATCCATCATCTTAAAACTGTAAACAGTGATTTTTATTTTATTTTGTGACTCGAGTGACTTCTTTAAAAAAAGAAAAGAAACCAAAAAAAACCGTCGAAGTGTTGGTTCAAGCGTCGAGATCTCGAGTCTTTAGTGAAATTCTGTATAAAAAAGTAAGTACGGCCGACGGTCGTACTTGGCAGTAAGGCTTCAAGATTGCTCGAAAATCGTCGAGAGAGGTGCGCAGGGCAGGAAGAGCGATGGAAATCGGGGGTGCAGCGATGCAAAGGATGGCCGCTACCGGAGGGCCCGGGCCTCTCAGCCTTCAGGGTCCTCCAAGGTCAGTGAAAATCTCACCCGTTAATATACAAGATGAACCCGGTGACCTTACTTCTCAAAGTACGTATACCATCAATATATGTATTTATATATGTATTTCTATTATTTTTTTGATTCTTGCAAATATTCGTGCCATTTAATTATTGAATAAATTTATTTTAAATAATGAAAATTTTAATTCTTAATTAATAAAAATTTCATTTATTTAATATGTTTAGAAATTCTTACTTAAAATGTATTTATATATATATATGTAATTTGATAAAAATATTTCCTGTAAAAGTGATAAAATATAAAATTATTATGTAGCTATTTTTAACGATAAGTAAGTTTACCATTTTTCTAATTGAAAATGCTATTTGAAAAAATGTTCGTTGAACAATTTTGTTTAATGAATTTATACATCATGAATTTATACGCATGAATAAACAATAATTTATGAAAAAATATACATATAAATAATTTATATAAACAATATTTTAATTTTTGCGTTAAATTATTTAATAGAGAATTAAGAAAATTTAATAAAATCTAAAGAAAATTTATTAATTTTATTAAAAATTTTATTTGAAAATTTATTTTTTGTGATTGATTAAAAATTACATGTTTAATTATAATATAGATTCTAATAGGTATATGTATGTATTAAAATTTATTGTATGTTTCTATTGGAATAATTCTATAGTTTTAATAGTTAGAGTAAATTAGTCTATTAAATCATTTCATAAATATCATCATTCATAAATATGATAATAATCCTTTCTATTCATTCTAAAAACAAGAATGGATATTTAATATTATTTATTAATATTTTTTTTATTTATTTATTATTATAATTTATCATTTAGTTTTATAATGATAAGGTGATAATAAGATTAAAGTTAAATATCATGTTATTTTTTGTTTTATCAAAACATTAATAAAATTAGAAAATAAATAGATATTTTAATTTGGAAAGTTTAAATTCTTTATAATATAATTATGTAATTGATGCAATTGTTTTAATTTTAATATATATTGTACTTGTATTGTACTATTTGTATTATACTTTTATATGTTAACTTTCAAAATAACTGTAAAAATATTGAATCATATAATATATTTATAAATAGATTAAAAATTGTTTAAAATTTGACAAAATTATTTAAAATTCCAAAATATTTTTTAAATTAAAAATTATTAATTTATATAAAATAGCTATAAATATATAATTAAAAATGTAATAAAAAATATTAAAATAATAATAGGTAAACAACTTTCTAATAAATGTATAAATTATCTTCCTTTTTCGTATTGGTATAATCTTCACACATATTATTATTCGATCTAATAATTTTAAGAAAAAATGTATTAGAAGAAAAAATTTTCATTTTTTCTTACATATTTATTCTACATTAATGTTTCATTTTGTTTTATATACATTATATACATTAAATATTTTAAAAAAATATAATTTAATATTTATGTTTGAAATAAAGAGTTTAAAAGTTAAAATACAGTATAAGAACTATAGAATGTCATGCTTTACTCATCTTGATGATTTCTCAATAGTCAAATTAAAAAAAAATAATTATTATGCTATCACTAAAAATTTTTACATTTCGAATTTTTCATGCTCTGATATAAGAGAATATCTTCATAGAACTGTGATCAATTACAAAATGCTTCGATAACTGTATAGATTCATGTCAAATTTATGTCATACAATATCTTTTTACTGACTATTTAAAAGAAATATTAATCTTCTGCTTTACCTACACACACACGCGCGCGCGCACATACACACACATACATACACACACGCACACGCACATGCACGCACACACGCATGTACACATAATTTTAAAATCTATATTTTCCAAAAAATTAGATTTTATACATCTCAATTATTCTATCAATATAATTTCTAACTTAAATTTACTATAAAAATAATATAGTCAAAAAAACACGTTTAATAAAAGTTAACAACTACTATTATTCATTTAGTTTCTATAAAATATGAAAATACTTAAATATGACATAAATATTCCATTTATTCAGTGTTAAGTACAGTATTATTTCTGAATATTAATAACGATTTAAAAAAAAATTTTACTGTGTTTTAATGGCAGTAATGATAAGAAGTAAAAATATTGCGAGTTGATAATAATATTTAATATTCGTAAATAATAAAATGTATTCAAATGGTAAGAATGAATTCAAAGAAAGAAAAAAAAAAACATGAAAAATTAAAACTTGTGATTTCATTATATCCATCATATTTAAAAATGCATTATTGAAATTTACATATGTGACTAGTAAAAAAAAAAAAAAAAGAAAGAAAAAAAGACAAAGGAAATTGTGATTGCATCGTTATATTTAAAATTGTTGTATTATTAAAACTAATGTAATTTCATAACTTATCTATTAATTATTTATCGGAAATCATCATCTCAATTATAAATACAAATTTTTACTTGTATTTACTATTATTTTGTCTTTATTTTAGTAAAATTAAAGATTCACAATTTTCTTAAAATTTATAATATTTATATTCATTTTTTCACTTTTCATGTAAAATTTTATGCAAAAACAATAAAAAAAGATATCTCATATTCTTATCTTTTGCTATTTTTTGTACGATTATATGAATTTGATAATTTTAAAAATAAAATGTAGAATATAATAAAAAAAAAATGATTGGAAAAAAAGACATATAAATATTTATATATAATAAAATTTATAATTACATATACAAATATTTTTTTGTAAAATCGTATTTAAAAAAAATAAATTTACTTTATTGGTGATATATATCACGCAACTTTATATGTATGTTGCATATATAATGCACATTTCAACTGTATATTTTTCACTCTAAGGAAAGTCCATATTGTTCAATTAATCTTAATTTCTTCTTCTTTATTAAGTTATTAACACTTTTAGATTACAAATCACAAAATGTTATTTCCATTTCTTTTTACCTTAATATATATATATTTTTCAAAAATTACTATACAAAACGCAATAGTTTTGATTCGTTTTCATTTTAATAGTATACATAAATTATAGAAAAAAAACTGAAAATTCAACTAGATCGAATGAAATGCAATGAAATACATGAATGGCCATCGCGTCAGGTGAAAACTTCATCATTGTGCTAGAATTTTATGCAATATTCATTTGAAATCAATTAAATTTTTATCGATTTCGATATGCTTTTCGTTTTTATGATTTTTCATGGAACTAAACAAACTAAACAATGATTTTAAAATATGATTTTTTTTTGCGTTGATAACTATTGACAAGTTTGTTGGTAAATTATAAGTTATTGATAAATTAAAGTTTAATTGATAGCGTGATATGTCTAAGTTATTTTTTATTTATATTTTATTGGAGATACCAATTTTTAGCTTGCTCGCTTTCAAAAGAATTCTGAACGATTTTTGGAAAGTAGGTACTGATTCAAGGAATGCTTCAGTATTCGGTAGAAACACTAGAAGTTCGTCTTGTCGGTGATTGGACTTTAAATAGCACTGTCAGTGGTTGCCTTGCAAGACATACATTCGATACTTTTTGTAATTGTCTAAGAAACAAATACGAGAAATTTATATTTGATACGAATAAAAAATAATTAATCATGTAAAAATTCTAGATATTTTATTGCAATATTGTGACTCTGATATCCAACTGTTAATAAAAAATAATAAATAATAAATTCGTTAAAAATTTTAAACATTTTATTATAAATATTTAATTCATATATCTTAATTGTTATTCATAAATTGAGATTGACATTTGTATAGTTGTAGTATCAGTTATTTAGTCTTTCTATATTCATATATTGCTCACTTAATACTTTTACAATAATTGTCTGTTTCATAAAATATAAAGAAATTTCATTAAAATAATTTCGATGTGTATTATTTAATGAATAGAAAATAATCATTTTTTTTTATTCTACAGATATTCTTTATCTCATTTTATATACGTATTCTATTTATATATTCCACAAAGAAAAACAGACAAAAATGTAAGATAGAAATAAAAATTAATTAATCACAGATAACAAACATTTTTTTAAATATGAATCACATTGCTTAATAACAAATAAGTTAATGTAAATAAGCAAATAAAAATTATTTTTCAATAAAAACGGAAAATTATTAAAATTATAGAAAAATTTTGTGATCAAATAGCAAAATCTGATTTATTTTATGTCATATTTTTCTTATTTTAGAATAGGTGAAACTATTTTATAATTTCAATATGATATATTTGTGAATAATTGCACGTAAGTCTTATCTCAATTTTGATGAAAATATGACGTGTCAGATCTGAGGACAGAATTATTTTGGACAATTCATTTTATCAGTATCTATTGTTGTTGAATGACAATCCGGTATCGGTGTATAATATCATGATATTGGATCAATGGGAATCCACATCAATTAGAATATTTCCGGAAATTTCAACGCGAATCCCAGCCAGGTATCATTCAATCCGATTACCAGTTTTCCACGTTGCTGTAGGTATAAAATATGTACCGATGCAAATTTGTTTACCCATCGTTTTCTACGATTTTATGTGGCTGTCATGTCCACATAATAGCCTTATGCGTTTGTCAAAAACAATTTATTGGACACATGAAATAAAATAGATAGGTATCAAGAGATTTTCATAAATAATACAATCATATTTGCAAATTTTTTAGATAAGTAAAACCATAAATTTCATACATTGTAATTTTTAATAATGAAAAGTGATATTGAAGCGAAGAATTGAAATCTGATTATTTCACCATTTTTATCTTAATGTGAGGGAATGGATAATAGTTAAAAATAATGGAAAATTCGTTACTTGAAGAAATATTTTTACACAAAGAGTTCCGATTGCTAATTTTGTCACAATAGAACCTCTATTATACGCACGTTCTAGTGGAATACATTTGGTTCGAGATTTTCCTGCAATCATGTTTTCTTCAATTCAAATGATTATTACATTCTTCGAAAATTTTATTTATTGTATAAAAAGAATCTCCTAGATTTAAATCTTGGAAAGAATTTTATACTTTTTTATTT